TATTATTATTATTATTATTATTATTATTATTATTATTATTATTATTATCCAATATTCCTCTTTTATAATTTATTAATTTCATTGTCTTTCAGCAATTTAATATCTTTTGTCTTTTACAGTTCACCCACTGCTTTCTACACTGCGTTCAGCATCGTACCCAATACGTTTGTTCGCATTTCTAGTTTCAAATCTCTGATAATCTTAACTGCGACATAATAAGGACTGATTTATCGGCAAAAGTGACGGAAGTAATAGGTTCTTAAAAAATTCCTCATCTTCACTGAATTGCGCCTATTTCCTTTTCTTTTACTTCTATATCCCACTTTTCCTCTGTACATTTTAAACTAAACTGTAGTTGTGATACAGAGGAGGTCCAACTGTGGTGAATTTATAGACCGAGACATTTCTTTCCGGTCTTACAGCCATAATTTTCACCAGAAAAGCAGCATTCTTTCTTTTATGGAACTTACAGTCAATCATTTTTCACGTAATCCCTTTCCTAATTTTTCTATAAAAACTTAATTGTAATGTTGCGTCATTATTTCGCTAATACGTCCACCTCTTTCTAATTAGGATAAGCCCTCAATCGTAGCTGTTTGTTTTAATCTGCGAAACAGGCTACCAAACCCCATGGCACACTGATTCGATTCGCTAGTGAATAAAATCAAAAAATTTCAACAGCCAAAACGCCATTCATCCACTCACAAATTCTAGTACAATTCTGGTACAGCGTGGTGATGGCAGAGCCCTAGCATCGGCCGCAGGCATATCGAATGTGGCGCGTGGATTGTCGAAAAAACTGCGAAAATCGCCGAGAAGCATCAAAGCGAGGGCACGCGAACGAGGAGGATGAGGAGGGGGACCAGGGCAGGAACGGAAAGGAATGAGGGCGGGGGGGGGGCATCAGGAAAGGCGGGAGAAATGAAGGAAGGGAGGGGGACAGGGGCGCCAAGAACGACAACACCCACCTCAAAACATAATCCGCATGCATCACAGGATACGGGACTGCACGTATGCAGGGCAGTGTGTTGCAGTCCATACAGTGAGCGACCACACGCGGCTTGGCATTGGCTGCTAAGCGCCCCCGGTACAGTCCTCTGCCCCGGAACGCGGCTCGAGGATTCAGCACCGTCCCCAAGGAGGCAGCCGGCCACAGACACCTGCTGTTGACCTCATCTGAGTGACCTGAAGCACCCTCCCTTTCCAAAGGTCATCGTCGGATTAACTGTTAGCCACCACCTGTCGCTTGTTTTCTCGAAGGCGGACTGGCCGTTGGCCATTTGTGGACCATTTCCTCGGATGCCTGGATGATCGAGAGTCGTTTGGTGAATCGGAGGTTGAACTGGTCTGGAAGTTCCTTGCAGCCCGTTTCTCTCCTTGGAGGTCAAGCCGACCGGTATCCGCTTTCAGCATTCTTCTTCGGAGGCTAGACCGAAAGAGGACCACTTCCGGCTGGATTCCTCAGAGATCAGGCCAACTAATAAGCGCTTCGCGCACTCTTCTTCGGAGGCTGGACCGATTGCAAGCCACCTGCTGCTGGATTTCTTCGAGGTTCAGCTGTCCGGTGTCTGCTTCACGCATTCTTCCCTAAAAGGCCGGAGTAATCGGGAGCCACCTGAAGCCTGGTTCGTCGGAGACTAATCCAGTCGGTTAATAACTTGCAGTGTTTCCACGGAGGATAGGCTGGCTGGTAAACGCTTTGCGCACTTCTCGGACGCTGCACTGGTCAAGGGTCACTCGCAAGTTGGCTCCTTAGAAGTGCGGGCAGTTCTAAGGGGTTCTGGTAGCTTGCACTTGCTTCGCAAAGGTGCGGGGAGCCAATGGTAGTTATGTGCAGGCGGCCCTGTGCCAAGACGGGGTCGTCGATAGGCTGTTGAGGCAGAAGGTCAGCATCCTGTCCACTTCATATTATTCCGGTGCCTTTGGCTTTGTTTTCAGCGTAAATATCAATTTCAGGCTAAAATTCATCTAAATCTGCAAGTATCGGGAGAGATAGCGGCGACCGCGACCAACATGCTGAGCGGTAAGTACAACGCATCCTTCCTGAAAGTGCAACGGGCACTCCTGGCCATATCGCAACCTTAGCCCAGGAGCACTGACCAAAATCGGCGGTGAGGAAAAGAAAACACCGCGAAACTGTATAATTTCTCTCCTTGAAACTACCGGCACCCGGAACAAACAAATAAATATTACCGATGCGTGGAGAGGGGAGGGGTGCAACGAAGGTGGGGAGAAGAGGCAAAAATAGCAAGGGGCAATTGCTCGAAGGCAAAAACATCCCCTCCCCCCCTATTCCGAATAGATACGCACATCCTGCCCCATCCCGTCGCAGACCCCCCCGCGAATCCAACCTCCACGTTGGAGCACTGCAACGACAATGCTGCTCGGATCGATGATGCTACAGAGGACGATATGGTGTGCGACAGAGACCAGGATCCAATGAAAATTGGGAGGTCCGCGAGCAGTGAATGAAGGATCGATTTGAAATTGTGTGTGGTGCATGATGACCCTTGACCCGAGCGACCGCCCGCGGAATTGCTTTCATGGTGGTGAGGAGAAAGCAAAACAACACCACCATCGATTGTGCTGCCACAGCCTGTGCTTCCCCCCCAGACCCTTATGACGATGACGATTTTTCCATGTGGCCCTTCATCCAATACACACACACAAGGCCCATACAGAGTTTACGCTGGCCATCTCTTCCTGTTGTTGCGTTTGGGCTAGTTTCGCGCACGATCCGAAGCAAGGAGAGGGGGGAGAGGGGGGGGGGGACACTCCGTACTCATCGCTGTGAAGAGGGAAAGTGCCAGAAATCTGTCAGGACGCGCAAAATGCAGCTGGGAAGCGTACAAACTGGGCCAGCACACATCCAACAGTTGGTAGGGGGGCAAAAACTTTTCCAACAGGCGCATTCATCCCAACGGAAGGCACTAAAATCAGTTGAAAACGGTAAAATCAGGCGCCAAAAAGGCAAAGTATAACCACTGATAAGGCCAAAATAAGCGTCAGGCTTTGACACTGGAGAAAAATGCACATTTGCCATATTTCGGGTTAATTTTGCGTTGCTCTGGATTAGGCACAGGCCAATGACAGATGCATGACAACATATTATTTTTGTTTGCTACACTTCCCGATACTTCTAGAGAGGAGGACCGGGGAGGGGGGGGGAGGGCGAGCCCCCGTCGTCCGTGAAGAGAGCGATGCGCCAAGTTTATTTTTGGCAAATTTTATAGCAGTCGATTGAAATTGTGACATGGTATTATCATTTTCAGGAATTGAAGAGATGGCAAGTTGGATGTGGACAAATTTTACCGAAGGTATCCAGAAACGCCTGTGCCGTTTTTTAATTCATCGCTATCTGGGCGACTTCCTCAAGTCCAGCATTAATTTGGAGCAGTTGTCCGCTACGCTCTATGACGGTGTTGCGTCCGTTTCCGATGTTGATGTGGATGTGCAGGTACAAAATTTCCCACTAAAAATTTCACATACCGGTACGTGAAAGCTGAATTTGAAACCTTGGACGGTGACTTTCTCCCACTGCCACATCAGTGGTTGTGCTCCCCGCGAAGCTTCGTGACAGGATTTCGACTTACAGCGCACTCATCATTTATCTAAATTTCGCATTCCTCCGTCATTCTTCCCCGGAGAATTTCTGGATTCAATCCGCTACACCATTTTCCTGATCCTTCAGTTCAGTTCAGTTCTCGTTGCGCATTTTCCCTTACACCTTGGAGGAAATGCACCAGGAGTTAGCGCTAGAGGCGTATACAAAAGAGCACCGAAATCCAAATGTAGGAAATAATAAATAGCGACGCACACCAAGATAGCCGGTGCGATCATGCATTTTGCGCAGTTCTGGCCAGCAAACGTTTGCCTGCTAACGATTTTCACTGCTTTGCACTTTGATCTGTACAAAAATAATTGAAATGTTGTCTGCTTTCAAAGTTTGCAAAATTTCCCTCTGAAAATTTCACATGCCGGTACCGTGAAAGCTGAATTTGAAACCTTCGGGTGGTGAACATCTTTCCAAAATTTGAACCTAATTTCCTGGCTTCCGAGCGATTTTTGCACCAAAATTTCTGGGTGATCGCACGTGAGAGTCGGCATACTTGGGAACTAAATTTGAGTTTATGGGATCCCCTGTATACGCAGGAAACGTCCTCTTGAAATTTTCAGCCTTCTAGCTCTTCTGGCTCCCGAATAACAGTTTCTCTCGCCGAAACTTTCGTGGTAATGTTGAGAGCCAAGCGTGCGTAAAAGTTGAATTTAAATTTGCAGGGTCATACATGGCAATGCGCCGTCTGCTGGGAGGGCGAACATAACACAGTAATGAAAGGTGGAGACGCAAAGAAGAAACAAAGAAAAACAGTACAGCCTCGCTTTGATAAAGTGAAACTTCTGTGCTTTCAGAAGATAAACGAAGCACTGGAGTCGGCGAGGATGCCGTTCACAGCGGTTGAAGGCTATATTGGCAAGGTGACCATCCGAGTGCCATGGCATAACATATTTGCCAGCTCGGTGGATTTGGAAGTGGAAGATTTGCAACTTACACTTCAGCTCCAGCAAATCCCCGTTGATGAACCGTCGAATGGTATTGCTTCTTGCATCCTCATCAATTTTTCAGTTTTGCCGTTTTGATACACTTTTCGGATATTACTTTTGTATCGCGTCGTGGGCGCTGCAGCTGGCAAGCTTCCTGCGGTTGTTCTGGACCGGGAGAAACGAAAGGACGGGGAGGACCAGTAGTTTAACTCCTTCATTCTTTCCGCTGCTTGTATAGCCCATTGCCTCGCACATTTTCGGCCTTCCTTACGTTCCTCTGCGAAGGTATCACTCGCAGGATCAAGTTTGTTAAGATTCAGTTGGGCAGGATTTTTTGTGAAATCGGAGTCTGGGTGCAAAGGAACCCCAGACCATCCAGAGGCTAACACTTGCTCTTGACACCTGATCACTACTGTATAGTTAAGTGCTGCTCTATTTAGTTGCTTCAATGCTCGAAAGCGTTGTTGGATCTACGACAACTTCAATGGAATTAGCACAGAATTTCTTGAAGCGAGACGAGTTGATTGATGAAGCAGAAGATAAGGGTGTCGAGCGATTCGCAGAGGTTTCTCTTTTTTTTTTAATTTGAAAAAAAGGCGAAGCAGAAATTGGCGCATTACTTTATTATCAAAAAAAAAATAAACATTTTCAGGCAATTGATGCTATTATTTCACGCTTTCGGCTAATTTTCACTGATGCAACAATTCGTTTGGAGGATGACACTGATCTCGAGTCGGGCTTGTGTACGGCATTAGAATTGCGAATTGATTGGTACTGTGCTTCAGCCAGCTTTTTTTTTACAGTTTTCAGGGTGCATTAAATAATTTTTTTGTTTACTGAAATCAAATTTTATTTTTTCGAAACGTAGCAGTACGCTTTTTAGGTTGGAACTTATCGATGAGCAGCTGGAATCAGAGTCGTGCTCCGGCGAGACAATAACTGCAGAGCCGCATTCCCTTTCGGCTGTACCAGATTTTAACAAATTGTTTCATGTAAAGGGCATGCGCTTGTACACCGACATCTTCACAAAGTGAGTTCTGCGTAGAAAAAGATAGGGACTTCAATGCTATGGGCTGCGTTATCTGTAATGCAGGGGAAGGCGGGTCATGGAAAGTTCCGTAATTTCTACTTCACCAATGAAAAGATCTGTTCACAAAAATGACTTCCAGTCTATTCAGAAATTGTTTAAGTTTCGTATTACTGTTTAAAACATGCGGGAAAATTGAAATGTTCCATTGTGTTTGTAATTTTAGACCGGAACAGCGGGATTTGTCTGAAGGAAGTGCGTCCTCGTTGTCACAAATAATAACCAGCATGTATTTACGACGGGAAAAAGAAAGGAAGGTAAACACATTGAGTT